GAAACTTTAATTATGAAATAAATTTTTTGATTCATATCAATTTGTATTTGAATTTAAAGTTTTAATGGATCCGACTAATTCGATTTTGGATTCATACATTTTCACTCTTCTCAAGATAATAAGGGTGTGCATGACAACATTCACATAATCAATTTTTTTTCAATTTTTTGTTCCCAGGAACAAAATTGGATAGAATTAATGTCTGACAAAATCGATTTATTTTTTTGTCCCCGAGAATGAACCAGTTCAATTTGGGTGTGCATGACAACTTTTTTGGAATCAGTTTTTTCTTTTTAATCTTTGTTTTCGGGAACATAAATGGATAGAAAACTCGTTTGGTAAAACATATTTATTTTTTTTGTTCCTGAGATGAACCGGTTTAATTTTTGTGCGGAACAGAAAAAAGAATAAAAAAATTATACTTTTTTGTTCCTGAGAACAAAATGAGAAACATTTGTCTCTCACTCTCTCTCAATCACTCATCACCACCACCGTCACCAATTACTACCATCATCGCCACCACCGTCACCAATTACTACCATCATCGCCACCACCGTCACCAACCACCACCACCATCGCTACCACTACCACCACAATCACCTTCGCAGCCACTGCCATCATCACCACCACCATGCCACCACCATTGCCACCATTACCACTACTATCGCTGCAGCCAATGTCGTCACCACCACGCCACCGCCACCGCCACCAAATCATATGAAAACGAAAGTGATGATCGAAAAAAATTTATGCTTAATAGGAATGATTTTTTATTATATTATTTGTTGTGTTATCAAACACAATTCTCATTCTCAGAATAAAAATAGAACATGTCATCAAACATATTTTTTTCTCAGAAACTATTCAAAGGCACATAAATAGAAAAGAATTAATTCTTTTCATAAACAGTGCCAAGAAACAAAGTGGTTGTCTTGTCGTGCACACCCTTTATGTGCTGAGGAACAGAAAAAAGAATCAATTTTTTTTTTTGCTTTTTTTTGTCCCGAGCAAAAAATGAAAAATATTTATCTCTCTCAATCACTCTCCCCACCACTACCATTATTACCATCACCATCATTTCCCCCATCATCATACCACCGTCGCGCCGTCATCACCACTACGATGCCACTTCCACCACCACCACCACGTCCACGACATTGCCACCATCACCATCACCATCACCGTGCCACTGTTACAACCATTACCATCACCACCACCACCACCATCGCTGCAGCCACTGTCGTCACCACCACCACTAACACCACTACCATCACCACACCGCCGCCACCACCATCGCCACAGCCATTACTATCACCATGCCACCGCCACCATTACCACCACCACCACCACCACCACACCATATGAAATGGAAAGTGATGATCCGAAAAAATTTATGCTTAATAGGAATGCTTTTTTATTCTATCTTTTGTTGTGTTATCAATTCGCAATTTTTGTTCTCCAAATAAAAATAGAACATGTTATCAAGGGGAATGATATTGTAACAACCATCCATTTAGTGTTACTACCAGTCACTTTCACCGTTAGATCGATTATGTTAATCCAGCGGTTATATTTTTTTCATCTTTGTATGATTATGATTTCCTATATTTAATACTTTATATTTATTTTCACTTTTGTATGGTTATGATTTTTCATATTTATTGTTTTCACATTAAATATGGGAAATCATAACCATACAAAGATGAAAATAAATATGACCGTTAGATCAACATAATCGATCTAACGGTGAAATTGATTGGTAGTAACACTAATTGGTTGTTACAATATCTTACCCCTGTTATCAAACACATTTTTTCTCAGAAACTATTCAAAAGCGCAGAAATGGAAAAGAATTGTTTCTTTTCAAAAATAATGTCAGAAAATATTAGAATAGTTGTCATGCACACCCTAAATTTAAAGACGAATTGATTAGGCAATAGCATTGCAAGTTTAAGAATAAAGCTTTGTGCACAATTACAAGATATGCCTCACATTACATTAAAAATGAAGTGTGATAAATTGGTAGTTAAAAAAGATATATGATATAGTTATAATTAGATAATAAAAATGATAAAATTATATATATGTATGCATAATCATAATCATGATCATTTTACATCAATATTTACCCTCTCAATATTGATTCTTTATTCTACTTATATTTAATAGCTTTAATTTTTTAGTCGTATACTTGTATTAGTTATTTGATAAAGTGAATTAATGATAAAAAACAAATATAAAGTTTTTTTATTTTTATACTGGTATGAGAATTACGTATTATATATATATATATATAAACCATATTTAATGGTAATGAGTAAGAATGTAGGGGTTGAAGAGTTGAAAAATAAAAATGTAAAATAGATAGAGGAGAGTAAAATAATAATAATAAAAAAGTTAATCTTTACTTATTTTTATGTTGTAGAGGATTAAAAGAAGGGTTTAAGTTTTCTTATGTTGTAGGATTGTAGGAGATAAAAAAAGTAGAGAGAAGTTAAATGTGGGTCCCATATTTTATATTAAAAAAGAAAAAAAAAATTAATTGGCACGGAAAACGAATTAGTGTAGGAAAATGATATATTCTTATGTAGCATAAGAGTATTATTTCCCTTAAAAGAATTACTATTTCGATATACAAAAAAAAAAAAAAAAAAAGAATTACTATTTCAATTTATTTTTAAATTATATGAGTGACCAAAACGTGTAAAATAAAAATGAAATTGGTCGACTTTATTGGGTTTATTTAAGGATTTTATTTTTCTTATGTCACATAAGATAAATTTTCTCTCATACTCTCACAATAAATGGTGGGACCCATTTTATTTTTTAAAAAGAAAAGAGAAAAAAATAGAATATAGAAATCGAAATAAGAATAGGAGATAAAATTTCTGTTATGTGACATAGGAGAAATAAAACCCTTTAATTAATGATGATATTGAAGTTTCAATTTTCCACGGTCTCTTCCTGTAAAATATTCTCTTAAAGTAAATTTGTATTTAAAATAAACAATAAAGAGTATATTTGGTATCAACTTTAATTTAATTTAAAAAATATTATAATCGCTTACCAAAATAAAAAATATTATAATCATAACTCATTAAATAATTTAAAAGTAATTAGATATTTACTTTTCTCCTTAGAGGAATATTCTCCTTCCTCTCTTAGTAGCTTCTTGTTCGTTCAATTTGAAATAATAAAAAAAAAAGGAGAGAGAGAGTTCTTCGGCTTCTAAAACGAGCATGGCAAAAGTTGGTTTCGGCCCAAATCATCATTAGGCTGAAAGTAGGATCGTAACCAGTTTGAGATTGAGCCCAAATCATTTCTGCAGCCACTTTACGTACAACAACTACAGATACATGCTTACGATTCCCCACATTTAATACTTTCATCCTGTGTAATGATTTGATTTTCCGCATAAAAATATATATGACAAGTATTTGATTGCTGAACGTACAGCCGCCGCAGAAATGTAAACCCCTTTTATTTTTATTTATAAAACTGCATAAAGCCATGTTCGAGCTAAATTCAGTTCAATTTGACTAAACTATAAGCATGTATATTGAGTGTTTGAACTTAATCAGTTACCCTAACTTCGGCTTCTGGCTTTTACAATGGCAGCAAGTTGGTTTGTTTACTAGGGAGCATTCAATTGCCATTAATAATATCAACTACACAAACGTGAAGAGAGGTGCTCCACTACTCTCATGTTAGTACAAACAATGAAAGCCTTCAGATTTTCAAGGATGGCTTTGGCAATCTTTCTTTGTTTTATTTTATTTTCCTTTTTCAAGTAGAACTTTCTCGTAGCTAAATTACATGCTACTTTCAGCAATTCACCAAATTCATCTGAGTGATAAAAAGTTCCGAATAAGAAAAAAATGAACTAAGAATGATACATATAACTAGATAGACCCGTAAACTTAATACCTTAAAATTTTGAGTTGAAACTTAATGTTAGATTCCTTTATTGTTAGTTTATGGCTTAGGCCCATTTGATATGTGAATGATAATCTCCCCTAATTTGGGCTTCTTAAAGCAGCTGGATGGTATGAATTTTGATTTATTTCAAAACAATTGTTAATGTAATCATTTTTACTCTGAGACAAGGAAACATCCAACTGTGGATTGAATTCACATACTTCAGTTCCAGCACAGTGAGATAATGATTAGCAAATATCTTGCATCTATGTGCCCTACGTAGGTTATGTGCTTATGTTAGCAATTCCAGATATCACATGATTGGGTCCAAAAGGGCCTTTGACAAGCTATCATTCAACAAAACTCATGTACATAACTAAACTTAATCTAAATTTCTTGTGTTCGACAACAAAATTATTCTATGACAACATTGAGTTCATGCCTCGGTGAGGGCGGGTGGTGGATAGTTGTTCGCGGCACTGCGCATTTGTACTATTATTGGGCGGGAATCAAAATTTAACATTTTTTATAGACGAAACCAATGTTCGATTCGGGTGAACCGTGAATGTACACTCAGAGGTGTTAATTGTATGTAGGATCAATATACTCACAGATATCTATGAGAGAGATATCGTATGAGAATATAAATCACTATGCACTTGTATAATATAGTGATAGCCAAGATGTGGTGTATGTGCACAATGATACTAAAAGTAAATTAGATTCAAAAGTATGTACCTGAATTAGTTTGGATCTGGGCTTTGAATACCTCCAGGTTGTTAGCTAATTAATATCACTGTTGAGATATGGATCTTATCCCTTAATCCTCTAGTAGTTTGGCTATTAAGATAAGTCTCTCAATCTTATGTTGGATAGATTGTTGAGACATGGATCTGGTCCATAATAGATCCAAAAGGGCATTTGACAAGCTATCATTCAACAAAACTCATGTACATAACTAAACTTAATCTAAATTTCTTGTGTTCAACAACAAAATTATTCTATGGCAACATTGAGTACATGCAGTTGAGACATGCCAATCACCACCAAACCAAAACCAAGTATTGGAAAACAGATCAGGATCACAAAGCACTATTGGCCCTTGGCAGAACCACATCTTCCACTCTGCCACATACAACAACATGCCTTGGCCAAAACCCTTTACTGAAGCTTTTCTTCTTATTTATCATCCTTCTATTACCATTGTTCAAACCAGCATTATTTGTAGAGTTGTTTCCATTACCAAGTTTGTTGTGGCCAGACTCTATAAGCCTCTCCAATTGCCTTGAAATGCTTTGTATTTCGTATGTGTCAAGAAGAGATTTGTTGGTGTGAATTGAGGGTCCTTCATTTGCTTCCTTGGTCATTCTCATTGCTTCTAACTTGTAACGAGAAGGCCTAAAAGCACGTTGAGTTCTTGTAACATGAAACTCACTCATAGCCTTTCTTTTAGAGCCTGAACCATGTTGGTACCATGCCCATGCAGCTGCTTTCACAATGGCTAATTCATCTGTTCTGTCTTGAGGCTTCCTTCTCTCAAGGAGAGAGTTCAGAGAGAAAAGTTTGCGTGACATAACTTCACTTCTTTTTTGATAACTGTGAATGCGTTGGAAAATTAAGTTCCACCACGCAATGCAGTGTGGTCCTATGGAAAAGTAGGTTTCTTTTCTAATGTTGTGGTTGAGAACTTCACGTGTCAAGAATGGCATAAATGAGACGGCTTTAAGAGGATTCAATTATGGGAACGTCTAATCTCATGTTGTAGGGAATACTCCTCTCATGTCATAAATTCAACATATGGTGAATCCCACCATGTGTTAAAAAATAAAAAATAAATAAATAAAAGATACGTTTATCAATGATGTATCTATAACATAAGATAATAAGAGAGAATGATTTCGCTTCAATTATATCATTTAATTGAGAAGTGGATATTGGGTCCACAGTGTATGCGGTAGTTCGGCTCCTATAAGAACTAGTTTGTTCTAGGCAATGTATTTTTCTGACTTGTCTACACTAGCAGAGGATTATTCTTCTAAAAAATGAAAGTAGCACATTTTTTCAAACGCATAACTTCACATATGGGGTATGTGGCAAAAGAAGAGTGTAAATGGGAAAAAATAAAAATAAAAAAATGAGAGGAGATCAGTTAAAATAAGATGATAAAAACTCTATAGAAGTGAGATAACGTGTATATAATAAGTGTGTGTATTCTTATTCTTATTAAACCAGTCATTTTTATTCAAACACTTTAGAGTGGCTTTCAGAGTCACAAACCACTCCAAACTGAGTTGTTTTCAAATGCACAACTTCAGTGTTGGTATTATAATCTTATCCTAACATCTTTCTTAGAGTGATGGTTTATTAAAAGTTCACAATGAGCGAGCTCTTCATTAATGGCCTCATGTTGATCTTTTTTAGTAATTGTAGAGAGCTTGTAAAGTAAACCATTCTCGTTGTCTGAATCTTATATTTTATTTGGGCTTTATTAATCTCATGCAATAGGAGAGAACTCTCTCATGCAATAGAGATAATCATGTGTGGGACTCACCTATTATAGAAAAAGAAAAAAGGAATAAAAAAAGAACACGAAAATCGATGTATGTGTAGGAGAGAATTTTTCTCTCCTACAACATAAGAGTATACTTTCCCATTTTATTTTCATCTTCTCTTGTAGAATTGCATAATCAAACCAAGCAACTTTGTGGACAACAAAGGCATTTTCATAATTTTTGTAAACGCCTTCTTCCCACTTGTCTTTTCCCCTTCCCAAACTTCCTCTTTGGAAATGCATGGAAACGAAAGGAACAAAAATATATAAGAGAAAAGTTTTACAATTAAAAATTATGATGTCTCAATCACAAGATGTTTTAGCATTGCAATTTCTACTAGTATGCAAAAACATTATTTCTTCTTTGATTCAATGGTAATATTGATGTTCAAACTTATGACCTCGTATAAATTACCCAAATCTCTCATTATTAGACCAATTCTAATAACTTAGTAACAGTTCAAGTAGCATCGAAACATAACAGAGTACAGAACAATCAAATATCAAGGTAATGTAATTAATAACCACACAAATCATGGCTTAACAATGATAAGAAAGGATGTTTGTTTATCAGATGTGCATGTACATTTCTTTCTAACGCTAACATCTGAGAAAATTGAGCTCCTTATCAAGCTTGGTTTATTTATTTCTTTTTTATTACAAATTTTTCCCTTCAAGTAAGTCCCACCCCCACCCCAAAAAAAAACAAAACAAAACAAAACAAAACCCTTCAAGAAGATGTTTGATTCAGCTTTTGGAAATCCTTTTGATTGCTTGGCTCCTCATCAAGTTTATTACCAAGCAAGTTTTGAGCACGCTTTAAACATGAAAGGTACTCATTCTTTATTTCAGGTGTATCAGCAATTGACTTCTTCTCATATACAAACTGCAAAGGAAGAGTAGAGCTGTGATATATTTTCAAAATCCTGTGTGAAAGATATGCATGGAAGATGCTGACATTCTTACTTTCAAATTCTGAATGTAACAATTTGCCAATGCAAAATTATCTAGATGATCTCTACAATCCAAGCATAATCAGTAATGTAAGTATAATTCAAGCTTTGTAAAATTAGTGGATAGGGAATAGTCTGAAATGCCAGTGAAGATATGAAATACGTGCCAGAAATATTTGCATGATCAAAACAATGTGAATAGTCAGATACTGTTACTGATTTTACATGCTACATGTAAGTCGTGAAGCAACAAATTCGTATGCAGACACAAAATTCAGGAGACAAATAATATAATAATTCTTTATCTCCACCATCCATGTGTGCACTTTCATCATATAAGTCTTCACCAAAATTTTCTTAGTATGTAGAATTACTGGAATTTCAAGATTTTAATGATCAAACTTCATTTCCTACTTTGATATCTCTAAGGATCCAATAACCCCACTGCCTATTGTTTCTGAGCGCAGAAATCGAACTGACGCATATGCTAAAACCTTATTTTCTGTAACACGGGTTCTTTAAAAAACATTTAAGTAGTCATTGTTATATGAGATCATAAAAAAATTATGCCATTCACTGTAACTTCTGTTCTGGCTTTAAAAAAAAAAATCTTGATGCAAGTATATATGAATGCTTTCCTACAAAGCAAAAAAAAATTCCTGTATTTCAAATGCTTTTGACTTAAAATGATGTTCTATTACTCAGTATTCCATATACTTCATTAATTTACCTACGAGGAATAATTCACAAGAAAAATTAGCATGTCAGTAGTTCATGTTTACCTCCTTGTAAGTAGAAATGCATTGAAGAAGTGCCTCCTGAGCCTCAAGGTTAATATTCCCTTCCTGCTTTGCAAAAGAACATCCATATTAAGACCAAGTAGAAATATCAAATTTGCAATTTTTCTCATTCCTTTGGGTCTTAAAACTGGTTGCACTACCATTAAGGCTTATTTTTTGGAAATCATTAAGGCTTATAATCTAACCTGAGTCTCCTGCAATTCTTGCTTAGCTAACTCCACCGATGACAAAGTACTGAGTGATTGCAACTGTAAAAATTACATTTCTATTTTACTAAACAAATAAATTTGATTCACAGAAGAGTACAAATCACAATTCTATTTTTATATGCATGCATAAGAGAAGAGTAATAATGCATAGAGACAGAGAATTAAAACAAAAACTGACCAAAATGACTAGTGCTGTTTGGCCTTCCTTTCTAGAATCTCCAGGCACACTGTATTTCCTCAACTTTTGTTTTTGTTTCAATACCTTATCTAAATATTGACGTGCAATCCTGAGATAGAACAAGAAAGAGCCTGTCACAAATATGTAAGAATGCACACAAAAGAAGGGTAAATTACACCCAAATTCCAATTTGTGTATTTGAACTTGGAGGAGGGGGGAATCAAAGGGAATTTTCATGTTCTAGAAGAGCATTTTCAAGAAAAAAGGGTCAAAACAAAGTTATTCTCTTGCCATGTGCTACAACTTAACTAATTACAGGCGTAAGATCTATTTCTTTCTTTTTATTTCTTTGTTTCTACTGACAAACACCTATACTAATTGTTCGAGCAAGTCAAACAAATAAAAGCCTAAACCTTAAACCAAACATTAGCCTTCAAAATATGATAGTCTTCAAATTACATTAATGTATATAATTAAAAATAAGAAGATAACAGTTCAATTACAACCAAGAAATGACTCGCATAATCCTATAATATTGGGAAGAAATCAAAGTACAAATGTTTATCTTCAGCAGATATAGTTTAATAAGGACCATCAGGTTACAGCACATTTAAGTTTCAGCCAAAAATTAACTGAAGCAGGTCCAAGGAAACTGCACACCGGATTCCTTTTAGTCCTCATTAAGTCTAATGGCTCCCTCTGTAGTTAATAAATGTCCTAAAGTTTGCACTTTCTGTATTCTCGTTTTCAATTGAGGTCTTTTTATTTATCTGCATGGTCAATGCTCCTTGGCATTGCCTAATATATATATAAAATTTAAAAAGTAATAAAAGAAATAAACCTTTCTTATTTAGAACTCGGTAATTGGTTAAGCGAAAATGTTTTATCCTTTCCTAAAGTGAAACAACCAAATCTAAACGATGTACATGAAAAAATCAGGCATTTGTATGTGTGACATCAAATTCCACCTGTCCATAAAGCATGGGACACAAATAACTATGAAAAATGCATTGTAAAAACAAAGAATAAATCACATTGGAAAAAGAAATAAATATATGATAATTTGATTAATTTTTTATATTCAAAAGTAGTTGTGAAAGAGTCAGGCATGTCAAGCCAATAGAAACCTTATGGAATTAAGCAAATGATCCTTTGCCGTATCAAGCTCAGCCTCAGCTCTAGAGCGATCCCACTTTTTATGTTGGCTGCAATCAAGCATTGCCACTCTTGCTAGATGCAGTAGGTTTGCACCAATCTGACCACAGGTAGAGAAGAAAAGATAGTGATTTTTATCATTACTCTGGAAAATAAAGTATAGCCAGCATGTTCATCACAAGCATAAACGCAATAAGAACAGTATCTTTGTGCAAGTAAGCATCACTTTTGCAATCAATTTTAGTGGGATTTGAAATCTAAATAGAATAGGAACTACCAAAAACCCTGTCAAGGAACAACAAACCTGAATATGGTCACCAGGAAGTACGGCTTTTCGGGCATTAAGACATCTGCAAGGAAAAAAATGAGGATTTCATTTGCATAAAGTCAAAGTTAATTTCCCATGTTTAACTAAATTAAAAGTATTGTAATAACCTTTCAAGAAGTTCTTTTGAATCTTTTGTATTACAAGATGCTAGCAGGGTCAGAGCCAAAGATTCAGCAGCAATAACTGTGTCCAAGGAATTCCATCCCTGTATCACACAAATTGCATCATGACTATGACGACAACAAATTTTGTGAGATAACTGTTCTTGCAACGTTTTCTTATTTCATTGAACAAGATTATCACAACCAATCCAAAATGAAAAGATAGGAAGTAGCAAATGGAAAAGAAGATTACAAATTGCTGGCCAACGGACACCTATAGTACCCATCTGTCACTAGCGGCAGTCATAATGCTTTGCATGATTGTCGAGTAGTTATAGTAGTTCAACAAATTATCAAATCATGATTGTTTTCTAAGAAATCCAACTCCTCAAATTTTTAAAAGTTGAGAGTCCATTTTTCTATTATCACATTATTGTAATTTGATACAACAAATTTAAAATGCTAAAAGAAAAAAAAAATGTCAATGCATGTAAGAATAACTTTAAGATTATAGTTGTTATTCAGCAAGAAAAAAAATAGCACGCTATCACATGTGAACGTAAGAACAGAAAAAAACCTTGCCCAACCACCCTATCTACAGTCCTGCTCAATGCATCAAAGCAGCAAGAATAAGAAACAGGAAAAGAAATCAACTTGCCTAGGCCATCTCTAGATTCTCTACTCCCTAAACCAAGATAAGGGCACCCCATTAACAGTGACAGAAAAAGTGGCAAAGAAGAAGCAACCACCGATTCACTTGAATGAAGTAAATAAATAGACCAGCTTAAAGAAATTTTATTTGACAAGTGAGGATACTTTCAGTAAACACAAGTTTCTTCCACTTACCCACTTTTTTTAAAATTAAAATCCACTTACCCACAATTTATACATGGTTATAAAATATGCATGCATCACCATTAACAGAGAAAGTCAATTCCAAAGCAAAGAAGGAGAAAGATGTTCACAAAAAGAACCTTTGACAATTCCATAGTATGCAGGATCTTTCTCTGGACCATCTCAGCTTCAGCAAGACGTTGTGATTTGAAATATATCTAAAAAAATATAGTAATAACTTAATATCATGAAGAAAGTTAGGACTGAAAAATAATAATCAGAAAAGTTGGAACAGACCCAGTTTGAAGGGGTGAAGAAGAGAGAGGGGGGGGGGGGATCAAACTGGCTTTCCAATTGGTAAAAGAGCCTCTAATACAATGCCAAGAACCAAATCTTCCCAAAGCTTAAGTTGTTAGCTGGAGAACTAAGAATGTTTTTTATTTATCTAACTAGTTTAGTACCTGAGCAGGCGAGCACTTATATGTTCAACTAGTTTACCTCAAATTTACTTGGATTATATGACTTAAGGTTTTAGGAGCCTTTTGTCCATCTAGTTGGCTTAAGTTTCTGTTCACATCTTGTGCACTATGGATTTTACCTCCTTGGCAGTTGGTAGAAATTCAAGATAGATACTAAAGTAAACTTTTATCCTTATCACCAAAAAAAAAAATCTTCTTTTTATTACAAATATCACTACTCATCAAAGAAGTTTCAGGAAAAAACGGTTAAAAGGCAACCTGTGAGAGGTATCGAAGTCTTCTAATGCATAAAGATGACTCCCCTTCACCACCTTCCTACATAGGTAAACAAATTGGCTTAAAAACAAGAAAATTCAAAATTACCGAATCCCAATGGTGGGGGAAGCTAAATTAGAAATAGATGCACCTCTAGCATCTTTATAGAGTCCCCAATAAGGGCCTCAGCATCCCTTTCTTTTCCTTGAAGATACAGCACCTGAACACAAATATTGCAACATAAGATCAAATTCAGCCAAAATTCCAAGAAGCATCAAAGAGAAAAAGATCAACAAAGCAATTACATTCTGACCAAATCCCCTAGAAAAAGCCATGAGCATAAGCCCTAAAAGAAGCAAAAAAAATTCTTCTATCCCAGAGAAACTACATAGGTAATCCCCTTAAATCTCAAAGATTGTCTAATCACCATCAAGTTATTATGGAGCATCACTTCACAGCACAGACAGAACAAATATAAGTAAAGGAAACTTTGTTATTTCACTGTTTCATCAGGCATGACTTTAATTCACACTTTTTTGTTTTCATAAAAGATGTTCATTAACAGAACATGGAGGAGAAATCAGAGGATAGAAATACTCTGTTATGTCAAAATAAAGAAAAAAGAACCGAACAATCTATAGCAAGAATTTAACCTACAAAAAATTGATGAATTATATGTATGTCATGCTTAAAATGAACAAATTTCCCCTTTTAGTGTTAGAGAATAATATAAACCATTAAAAAGTCCTCACCCAACAGCTTAAGCTTTTGGGTTGAATTAATTCTTTATTTGGTATCAGAGCCTCATGCCCCGGGTTCGATCTTCACTAGCCCCCACTTTCTTTTGTGGAATTTTCTTAGCATAGGGTCTGTGCATTGTCCACCCTTCAAGCCCAGTGGGCTCTCGTGTGAGGGGGCGTGTTAGAGAATAATATAAGCCATTAAAAAGCCCTCACCCAACAACTTAAGCTTTTGGGTTGAATTGGTTCTTTACTTATTGTTGAGATATTCAAGTGTGATGAGTCCCACATTGGTTGGTAATGGGCTAAGTGAAGTGTATATAAGTGGATAGACCCATGAACCCAATTCCTTAAGGTTTTGGATTGAGACATGGTATCGAACCCACTTGCTACTGTTGGTGTAGCTTTGGCCCATTGATGGCGGTCCTCACCTGACAGCTTTATGACAGAGGAACTAAGAATATCTATGACAAAGGTGTATCTCACTTCTTCCCCAGATTCTAAAACAAATAGCAACTTTGTCTCACATTCACATTTTCATTCACATTTCTGGGAAATGGTTGTTGTAGCATGTTGAAATTATGTGAAAAAAGGAGTGACTCTCATGCAACATGCTCCATCTATCAAAAACTCATTTTAATTTTTCAATCACCTGATGAAGATCAAAATGTGGTATTTTCACTTTTAGCTTTTCCTTGGTTACATTAATTTATGTCGTGAAATTTTTGAAGTACAAGTTTGTGATTTTTGTTTTATCAAGTCATAATGTAATGCAGGGTGTGATAAATTCTGCATAGAAATGTCAAATCCATATAATTGATTGTAGTGAATTTTACAGAATTGACTGATACAAATGCAGCCATCAATATCATAGTTATCTTCACAACAAGTTTTTTAGTTTCAGACCCCAAGATCACCCTCTTAAAATCTAGATTTCCAGTCTATAAAGACAGCATTAGACTGCTTTAGCAAACAAAACAAACGAGAATAAAAAAGAATGCAGTGAAAGGACTATAATTACCACTCCTAGATGATACGTTGTATCTGAACATTCTGAATGGCTATATCCCAGAACACGCCTTTTTATCTGAATAAATAGTCACATACCAAAATCAAGGCAACATACAGCCTCAATCATCAAGCATATAGTTTGTATTAAGATATAATAATGAACTGCAAAGTGATTACAATATACAAGGAGAACATAACTGTTTCAAGATCAAAGGAAAATAACTGTCACTGCATGAGTATAATAGTTCCATACCTTCAATGCGCGCTTTTAAAAAACACAAAGTAAAAGGAGAAAAGGTGGTCAGTAGAACTGAGAGAATACAAAGGAATATACTAACAACAATATGAAAGTCAATGCCACAAAAATATAATATGTGAAAAAGGGGAGGGTGAATAACCATAAATGTCCAACAACACATATAAACTTTTAAGATCTCAATATGATGAAATTTGGTTCCACTAGCATAACAATGCATGAGTAAATGATCAAAAGATATCCACAACTGAGGAAAATTTGAAGCAGGAACTTTTGGTAATGCACATATTCATCACGACCACTTTGCGGCTCAAACTTAAAAAGATTTCCAAATGTCATGATAATTGGAAGAGAGCTTTCATTTCTTTAGGTGGTTATTTCACCCTTATTCAGGCCCTTTTCTTACAGTACTTATCAAGTAAAATTATCCAACTTTTGTTTTCATTATTTCAGCCAAAGGATTAAGATTATGAGGGATTTTCTTTAGCCATGAGTAGGAGAGAAAAGAAAAGACCATGTGGTCAGTTGTACAGTTTGCTGTAGGCCTAACAAACAGGGAGGCTTAGATCTTGTTAATTTGGTTTAGAAAAACATTACTCTGGTTGGTCATAGCAATGGGGTTTTCCTCGAAGAATTATAAAGTGTACCAGAAAATGGCATAACCTGTGGGCTTAATTGCTATAACTGGAAGTACAGGGGGAGTTATATGAAAATGGGGTAAAGTTGACAGGGGTTAGTTAATTAGAATTGTTGAATAAAATTATCCCCTATACAATACAATAGATGGATAAAAAAATTAGCATATATGTCACCAAGATTTATAATTCAAAAAATTACCTCATAGCTAGCACGAGCTTTTTCCAACTTCCGCTGTCCAAGGTAGAACTGCCCAAGGTTGTGAGCAGCAACCCCAACCCTGCATGATCACAGTTTCAAATTGAAGCCATCAGACCCAGTGGAATTCATCATACTAAAGGCACTATATATAACATCGCACAGTCACACATACATATAAGTTATAGATTTTAATTTGATCTGTTTTCATAGTCCCGCATCCTTAACCACATAATATTCTCTGTAAATTATTATAAAATATTATGTTATCATAGATTAGGCAAGTAATTATTTAGCTAGGTAAATATATTAGAATGAATCCATGTACAATATTCAGTATTTTTCCATTCAAGTTGATCTATTGTCAAAGTATAACTATTTTATAGAAAAAGAAGAAAAACCAATTTCGTTCAAGAGAAATTTTATTTGATCCATTGCCAGTGTAAGACTTTTTTCCCTATCAATCAAAAGAAAAAGATTTGAAGACCTGTTCCAGGAAACTTGATGGAGTGTTTTCACTTACTTCATACAATGAAACTTTCCAGCACATTTCTATCAATTCCTCCTTCTCAGAGTTTAAATTTCCCAAAATCTTGGTTCATGCAAGCTCTAGATCATCATTTATGTTCCTTTATTTCAAGGGCATTAAACCTGATCCATGCAAGCCCTTTATCATCATTTCTATTAATTTCTTTTATGGGCATTTTTGGTTCCTACTAATGATGCTCTACTTATACAATTGAAAGAAGATGAAGCATTATTTATGATGGTTGAACAAATTGCACCATACCGTATATCGTCAGGACCAAAAGATTCCTCTAATATGTTGATAGCTTCCAAATACAATGGTTCTGCTTTGTCAAATGCCTTTTTGACCCTGTACAACTCTGCCTAAAATGACAACAATAGAAATCTGAGTTGTATATTGACAGGACTCATTTACTTTCTCAACGAACCTAAACAATAGGTACAGATTCCATATGGTCTCTCTTCAGGCAGGTTCAGCAGTTCATTGTGAGGCACAACTAAATGGATGTAAAGGATCATGTCATGCATAATCAACTAATTGTACTACCTAAAAAAAAAAAAAAAAAAACACAAGATAACTAATTTTGCAAGAAGCTGAAAATGGGCATTACACTTCTGCCACCACTGTCACCAAACTATCTGAGATTTGACCATTGCAAGCTGTGCATCAAATGTATATATCATAAAATGTCTTGGCATGAAAATCATTCTGCCTATAAGAATTATGATGGATGTAACAATATTTCTTACCAGAAATTCACATACTTCAGAAGTAATTCAGCAAATCTCAGGAGGAAAAAAAAGAAAAAAAAGTAAATGCCAAATGTATGGAAGTGCATGATAGAATTTCGTAACAAATAGAGGATAAGAAATCTTCCAAAGGCATCAAAGAACTAGAAGATTAAAAATATATTAATAAAAGGGCAAGAAACGCATCAACTCAATAAGTGTCTCCAAGAACTAGAAAATTTTGTTTATGGATTCTATGAGGTGCCCTTATGATTGATTTAATGGAGAGTCTCTAGTCTGATATGCAGGGAGCTTGGAAAGCTTTGTTGCATTCATAAGACTCTTTTGCTCTCTTTTCTTTTAGTTTTTCAAGTATTAGATAACCTTGTCCTCCCCTAGTTGTATTTTTCCTTCTTTCTGTCCTATTAAACTTCTTTATAAAAAATATAGCGGGAAATTTTTTTTTCATAAAAAAAGAGGTCTCCAGAGGAAAATTTTCCAGGATTTATTGCACAGTTCTCATAAAAATTAAGAAAGAAACAATAATCAAATGCAGGTAAATTACCAGATTGTTGCATGCAGACGCAACATGTGGATCTCGCTGGCCAAAACCTTCTTTAGCTTCTTGTATAGCAGAAAGGAAGAGCGTTTCGGCTTTATCTAGTTTTCCCTGGTAGCAAATGGACAAATAATATATAGTCAATAACAACAACCACACAGCCTTTTCCCACTAGGCGGGGTATGTAATAAAACTGAATAGAATTTAAAAACAATGCAACAGGAAGAAACTGCATGCCTCTAGGAAAAAATCTCTCGCTTTATCTGTAAAAACTCTCCATTTGGCTGTATGTATATTTGATACCACAGAGCCATCCTCAATTTTGTTTAATCCAATTAAGTCATCCCCAGGGTCATTACCAGAAGATGCTTCAGCTTTTGCATCTTCTGCAAACACTGTGTTGGCACTAATCCCCAGAGTCATTGCTGCACAAAAATCATATTAGTCAATTTAAACTATATTAGAATATTGTTTAATCAGCTTCCATTGAAAATGAGTGCTACATCATTAAATAGTATTTCATGGGATAAAGTTTTCAATAAATAAACATTGTACTAAATCTCATATCATGCAGATCATGCCCATAAAATTTCATATTACAACATGATTTCCAAAATATAAAAGAAACAAACTATTTGTATTTTTATTTTTTCTTCTCAAAAAAATGTTTGATTTTGCGCTTGTCAGCATTCAATGCATCTTAAATATGTATTAGTTATCAACTAAATATTATCTTATGATCCAACCGATGGATCAACAGAAATTACATTTTATTAAAAGTTATCCAAGGGTGTATCTTTAAAGAATAATAATAATAATAAAAGAAGAAACCTGTATTAAGGAGCTTCCAAAAAAACTAATCCCTGAACCTTTAAACCCCCATTTTAAGTGAACCAAGCTTATTCTAATTGAGAAAAAGAATCTCAAGAGAGAACCAAGCTAAACCAAAAACCCAAAAGTAAAGGGCAAACCCCGGTACACAAGGTTTCCCGACTTGTCAGGGTACGGGCGAGGGTCGATTGTACGCAGTCTTACTCTTATATTTTTACAAAGAGATGGTTTCCCATACTTGAACCCGTGACCTTTCGGTCACAAGGAGCAACCTTACCTCTGCTCCTAAGCTCGCCCTCCAAAAACCCAAAAGCAAATGGAGGAAAAAAACCAGAGGGCATGAAACACAAAATAAAAAATAAAACTCAAAAGGGCTATTCAATACTTCTGGATGTCAGATTAGGAAACTCAGAGAAACTAGAAAGAAAAATACTCCATGCGTAATTTTTGCATTAAGAGAGAGTAGAATGAAAGTAGTGGTGATTGGCTCTAGAGAAAATAATTGAATCACTTTGTTTGGTCAATCCATGTGTTAACTAGTTTCCATGGTAAATCATAAGCAGCAAGTAGCTTTACTATCCCATTGAATCACCAATCCTGATGCTTGGATATCTAGTGATGGGTGGAATGGAATCAATTTTCCATACTATTGTTTGGATATTTTAGAGGGTGAGCCTTAGAGCAGCAGTAAGGTTGTTCCTTGTGCCCGGATGATCAAGGGTTCGAGCTTGGAAAACGACCTCTGTGTAAAAAAAAATGCAAAGATAAGGTTACATACAATTAACCATCACCCCTACCCTCGAAAGTCGAGAGCCTTGTGCATCGAGTTAGTCTCTTTTTATTGTTTGGATATTTTATGATGGAATGGAGTAAAGTTTCCATTCCATTGTTTGGGAAGTCGTAGCAACGGTAAGGAAATTAGTAAACAATATGTTGACTCCATCCCAAACTCCCCAAATTAGGGGGAAGAAAAATAGAGGTATTGGATCCATTTCACTCTATTTTAAACAATTCAAACAATGGCAACTGATGTAATTCCATTCCATGCCCCTCTATTTCATCCCTTTTTATCAAGCCAAACACAGGTGTAAGTAACATTGAAAGTGGTGCAACAGACAATGATAATATATATGTTATAGACTCAGAAGCACGGACACGCAATGTTTTAAAAAATTTGCGTGTCGGACACCAACACGCTCCGACACGTTTTTTATTTTTTAGTCTTAATTTTATTTTATTAACTAAATATAAAAAAAATAATTTATAAATCAATTTTTTTCTGTTATGAAATTTGACATGAAAAATTAACAAAATAGGAAAAATTATTTTTGTTTATATTTATGTTATGAAATTTGAATATTTGATTAGTTATATGACTTATTATGGACTGTTATATGTATTGAATATAAATTATATTATATATATTAAAATTTTATTTAATATCAAAACGTGTCCCAACGTGTCAAAATATGACATTTTTTAGAATTAACGTGTCGGCGTGTCGTGTTGTGTCCCGTGTCGGTGCATCATAGGTTATAGATAAAAACCAATTCTCACTTACGGAAAAAAAAAAAAAAAAATCTCATGCTCACACCTAACATCTTAAATTTTTTGGGTGAATGGGTTCTTTTACACACTATCAAAGCCTCTTATTATCATGTTGTCAAGATTTCAATCCTTGCAAATCTCACTATCTTAATTAAATTAAATGTCAAAAGAAAGGTAGGGGTGGGGCTCCGATTTATCCATGCTTCAAGCCTGATTTCACATGAGGAGCGTGTTGGAGATGAAACCTATCTTCATGCCTGCACCTAGAAATTTAAGCTTTTCGGTGAATAAGTTTTCTTTGACAATATTGGAAAGGATGGTGATTCAGACTTCTGAGGCATTATTCTATAAGCATATGAACTAGAAGCTAGTAAAACGATGAAATATGATAGGCAAAATGAAAAACAAGAGAGGGAATTAACAATTACAAGCTCAGCAACAATTCTCCCCTTAATCTCCATTTAAAAATGAACAAGAATCTCATTTGGAAGAGCTCTCTCCATAAAAAATATAAAATTGCTTTTTAATACAGCATAAGATAGGAACATAATCTAGACTAATTATCACAGAAAATAACAATACAACAGCGTTATCTGTTAGTTACAAAAGCATACCTACATGTCCAGATATAACAATCCATAGATAAGGATCCCTAAGATTTATCCTCCAACCATATGCCCCAGTTTGATACCAATGGGAAAGTTTGAGTTTACCTGGAATAACATAAAAAACAATAAGAAAGTAAGAATAGGTGGATGTCATCTTCATTGTACAGGACAATAACGATAGAAAAGTTATTATCCATGTGCAATTAACCAACAATGGATCTACCTATGCCACAAAATCAACAATGTGGGAGTGAAACCTGTGAATATCTAAAAAAAATTATTTCAAAAAGGAAGTTCCTTTCCTTAAAATTAGGAAGTGGGTGTGAGGGATAGGCCATTTGTGACTAATTTGAAGGAACAATTTTCTGTTCTGTTTTCAATTCCAATATACACCAAACTCAAATTGGATAATTAAAAAAGGGAACAACTCTTAGAATAGTATAGACTAGCATAGATACAATACACCAAAGAAAGCACCAAAGTTCCCATTTTGATGTGTAAGAAGAGCTAGGGTATGTAATAAGCCCTGGTAACTAGCAATTAACATCAAGCTCTAAGAGTGCAACAAACTTCAAAACCATCACTTACAAGTAAGATACCACTCATATATAAACGACCCACCATCTAGAATGCAAAAATAAAAGTTAAGACCTCAATCATCACGAAAGTTGAATAACCAAAAATAAAATAAAGTTCAAAACAAACCCAAACAACAGAATTGAATAGAGAATATAAGGGGTGCCATCAAATTACAACAACAGTGATATAGGGTGAGTAGGGATGATTTTTTATACCAGAAAACGAGATGGGCAATGCATCTGTGGTTACTCTAGAGGCTGGGAAGGCATGGGATGCAGAAAAGCGAAGCTTTTTAAGCAAATTTGATGCTGCCACACGCAGAGACATCCCTTCCAGTGAACAACAAGAGGGGTAGCTGCTGTAGAGTTCAAAACTGAAATAATTTTTTTTGATTTTATTCTATTTGAAATTAAAATATATTAATTTTTAGGTTTCTCTTTTCTTATTTCACATGAGATAATATCTCTCATGCTATAGACACAATAAGTGATAGGTAATAAAAAATTAAAAAAAAATAGCACAAATTTCGATGTCTCACAATATAAAAAAGCAATCTCCAACGTGAGAAAATAATTTCCCTAATTTTTAATATGCCATACTCCTCTCCCACATCGTGAGTAAAGAGAAAATGGGTGAAGGCAGTTTAAATTGAAATTGTTAGGAGAAAAATAAATAAAGTAAGTATAAAAAAATAAGTATAATATCTTATCTCGTTGTTATATTCTATTTTATTTTTCAAATACATTATATATAAAGGGTAAAGAATTTCTCCGGTCAATGGAGATAAGTTATCTTCAGTGAACCCAAAACGACGTCATTTTGGAACAGAAATCAAGGTATTTTTGTAATTATAATATATTGCAGGATTATATTAGTCTTTACCAATGTAATTTTTTAATCTCATAACCCAAAACGACGTCGTTTTGAACAAACTGGAGATAACTTTGTCTCCATTTACTGGAGAAATACTTTTCCTACATATAAATGATGGGCAATGTTTTTCTCATGCTATTGGAGAGGAGGAAATCTCCTACACAATCAAATTCATGGTGGGGCCCACACATAAAAAATAAAGAAAACAAAAAAAATTATTACACGCAAAACGAACTCTCACTAACATGAGAAGAGAGCTCTCCTACAACATAAGAATTCTTTTTCCCATAAATGATTTGGTTACATTATGTTAGGAATATTGTTTTTCATGTTATATGATATAATTTTTCTTATGCAACACAAAAAAAAAGAAGAAGATAAAACTAATTTCTTCTTTTTTTTCTCTTTTTTTGTATAAAGAGGAAAGAAAACAGAAACACTACACACTAACACTCCTGGGCCACGCAGTGCCCATTGAATCCTCCAACACTAACTCCCTACAGCCATCAGGAACACTATCAATCCACATGGTTTCCAAACTAGATAAACAATTATGAGTAGCAAGCGAGTCTGCTACTTGATTTCCTTCCCTATAGATGTGACATAATTTCACATTCCATTGTCTAGCCATTAACAATTTGACTCTGTTCACAAGAGGATAGCAAGGGTGTGAGCTAACACAACCCTCCTTAACAAGCTGGATAGCTAACATGGAGTCTCTTTCTAACAAAATATGTCTTCTCCCATTCTCCCAAGCCCAATCTAAGCCTATGATGAAGCCTCAGATTTCAGTCATTAATGTTGTTACATTACTCAACTTTCTGTAGAAACCTTTGATCCAGCACCCCACCCTCGTCTCTAATCACCCCTCCACAAGCAGCTCTTGAACCATTTCCTGCATAAGCAGCATCCGTGTTAATTTTGATCCAACCAGCTGGTGGGGGGCTCCAATTAATCAAGATCTCTTCGTATCTTTCATAAGCTAATCTCGAACCTGCAAGAACATCATTAGCCACCTTAATATTAGCCACAAAGAGAGAAGCCTGAGCAAAAATATCCTGCGAATTAGAGGTTTTTTCATCAAAAACTAGGCTATTTCTATCCTTCCACATTAGCCAACAAATCACCCCAAATTTCAACCTCCAATTCGAGTTTTTACTGCTTCTGTTAAGATTATTTTCCAGCCATCCTTCCCAGTCAATGAATAGAAAGGACTCCAAATCCTTGCTGTCAACCCACAGGTTCCACACCTCACGGGCCCAGGAGCATCTTCTAAAAATATGGTCATTATCTTCCAATGGCAGATGACATCTAGGACAAGAACCATTTACTGCCATGTGTCTACGCATCCTTTCAGCATTGTTGAGAAGTTTATTCCCCACCAAAAGCCAGAGAAAATTTTTTACCCTTTGGGGGTCTTCCCATTTCCACACCAGATTCCAATCCTTGGGTATAAGATTTCCACATTGGGATGAAAGGTAGTTATAAGCTGAGCTGACAGAGAATTCTCCTGTGTTTGATTGATTCCAAATTACCATATCCTGATCATCCGAATTGGCAGGAGGGCACATATTTTCCAGAACCTGTAAGGCTTCATCAGAAAGGAGATGATTGAACTTACTCAAGTCCTAGTTCCCCTCAACTACACAATCAGCCACCTTCCAATTCTTTGCCTCAACAGGTATGTTAGTTAAAGAATAGTCCATGAGTCTTCCACCATTAGGCAGCCAACTGTCAAACCAGAAGGTTGTATTAGTCCCATTACCAAGAATGAATCTAGATCCCTCTAAAATAGAATCCCAAACTTTCTGAATACCTCTCCAAGTGTTGGAACCATTTCTGCTATTTCTCAACTGAGTATTATAAGGATTATCCATCTTATATTTGCTGTGAATGACCTTAACCCATAGGTCATCTTTATTAGATAAGAGTCCAAAGCCAAGTTTCATGGAAAAGGCTCTGTTAACCAGCTTTTGATCCCTTAACCTCAATCCTCCATTTTTCTTAGGACGACACAGCTTCTTCCAACTCACCAAATGTGTTTTCCTTTGAACAGGGGATGAACCCCAAATAAATCCCCTAGTTTCCTTCTCCACCTCACTGCACACACCAACAAGGATAACAACTGATTGCATAGAGTAGGCAGGCAAGGCCTCAAGAACTGATTTGGCAAGGGTGGCCCTCCCAGCTAAAGACAAGGACTTCTGGTTCCAAGAGGATAGCATTCCCTGCACCCTTTCCAACACGTACCTGAAAGAGTTTTTTGTTACTCTTTTATGAAAAAGGGGAATCCCAAGATACTTACCAAGGTCAGAAGTAATCCCTCTACTAAGGGAACTACTAATCTCCCTAGCTCTCCTTGAGGCTCACATTTTTAGAGAAATACACTCTAGTTTTATCAGTGCTCACTTTTTGACTTGAAGCTTCAGCAAACACTTTTAACACCTGGTTAATCACATGGGCATAAATCAAAGGGGAAAACTTTTCTTATTTTACAGGAATAAAAAGCTTATCTCCTATTGAAACAAAATGGTGGGACCATTGTTTTATGAAAAAATAATAATAAATAAAAACAAATTTGAGACACAATTCCATGTATCTTTAGGAAAGAGTTGTTACCACATGTGAATGGAGAAAATCATTGCCCTTAATCAAATTGTAGTATGCAACATTACAAACAATATTTCATATTATGTTTCATTCTTATCAATATGTCGATCAAATATTAAGTGAGTTATATCCACTTGTGAGTCTCATTTTAATGGAATCCAAATTAGTATAAACTATAAACCTCGTGTTACTTCTATAAATTAATAAATTCAACATAAATAAATACGCAGTCAGAATTATCAAAATGGTATTAGGGTAATGGTATAAATTATATGATACTAATAAGATATTAAATACACGGGTTCTTATTAAAAATTGTAAAATTTTATTTAACATTTTCTTATTTATTTTTTTAAAAAAATATTTGTCATTTTAAATAACAGAACTTTGTGTTATTTAAAAAAAAAATATTGTTTGGGTACATAATTCTTGTTTTATATATATTTTTCTCTGATGCACATACACGTTCTTTGAAGAAAAAAAATGTGTGTCGGACATCAACAAGTTTCGAAACGAGTCTGATATGTGATCAATATTTTTCAATACGCGATCAACGCTGTGACATACTTTCAACATGCCGTCAATGTTTTCCGGCACTTTTTTTTATCTAAATTTTATTTTATGTATTTTATCTTTTTAACTAAATATGAAAGAGGTAATTAGGATCAGTTACCAAAAAAAATTATGAAAAATTAATTTATAAATCAAATATTTTATGTTTTAAAATTTGATCTGAAAAATTAAAGAGACATGAAAAATTATTTTTTCTTCATGTTTATGTTATGAAATTTGAATATTTGATTGATTATATGACTTATTATAAACTGTTATATCTATTAAATGTAAATTATATTATATATATTAAAATATTATTTAATATCAAAACGTGTCTTAACGTATCGAAATTTAATATTTTTTAGAATTAACGTATCGACGTGTCGTGTTTAGGCGTATAAATAGACTAGGCTAGGCTAGACTTTGGCTTAAATAGGTTAGGCCTATGCAAAAAATATTGGGTCTGGCATTGCCTGTTAGCCTATGTAAGCTCCAAATTACAAGCGTGACCTGACTTATATTTTTTTGGTAGACGACCTGACCTGACTTATACTTAAAAAATAATATTACTTTACTATTCAAAATTATTAAAATAATAATTTTATTTATTTAATTTAAAATAAATAATATGATATAGGCTGACTTGTAAGCTTATAGGCCCGACATGTACAAAAAAGCCTATAACTTGTTCTCTAAATAGGTTTTTTTAAAAGTCTAGGCTTATTCTATTTTACTATTTGTAATAGGCTAAATCTGGTCTAATATAGGCTAGGTCGTAGGCCTCTGTAGGCTGGCCTAGCCCACTTACATCCCTAGTCTCCCATATTTGTGTCTGTGCAACATAGATTTTTTTTTTCTCTTTTTCATTTTATAGAAGAGAGATAATGTAAACAATAACCAAATATATACCAAAATTTATTATGGGGTTTACTAATCTCATGTTACATGAAATAATACTCTCATGTGAGTGACACAAATATGTGGAGTCTACAATGTAAAAATAAAAATAAAAGAAAAAATTAGCACAAAATTCTATGAATGTATGACATAAGATAACTCTCTTATGCAATATGAGACTATTATTTCTCATTTATTGTATACCAAATAACAACCTTTAATTTAAAATGACAAATGTTTTTCCTTTTTTTATATGACTTTGTTATATAGAGAAAATCTCATTAAAAAGTTTATTCCCGTAAATGGGGATATTTTTAGGCGTTTTAGCGATATGAGTAATTTTTAATTGTCAGATTAACTTAAGAGCTAACTCATTTATTTTTTTCTTATACCAAAAAAATTATCTATAAATATAATATGTTCCATTCGGCTTGTTAGCCTGCTGTTGCCCTTCAAGTAATAAATTATACGTAGTTTCGGTGTCATCAAATTCTTTGTATAGTGCAGGTATTTTTAACTGATTTTAATTTTAGAGTTTTTTAAATTATTTTACAATTTATAAGTAAATAAATATTTTAAAAAAATGTGTCCAATGCCTATTTGTTTAATTTTTTTAAATTTGTTTTAATCAAAATAATATTTCCTAAAAATTTATAGTATTTGAATAATTTAAAAAATAAATTAAAAATAAATTATATCATAAGAACAAGTTTAATTAAAGTATCGCATGCAAACCTAATCGGGCTCAGCCCACCCATTTGACAAAGCCTGGCACTATAGCATCGTCCATAAGCCAGGTAAAATCAATGAGCAAAAGAATTTTGATTTGAAAAGACGAATAATAAAAAAAAAAACAAAAAAAAAAAACTGTATTTGCATGCCTAATTTTTCATTTTAGTACAAAATATTTTTGCATTCCTAAACACTCAACTATATATATGGAATTTTCTTTTGTATTATTGGGGCTTTGAAATCCCTGCCTACCATGGTTATATCAAAAACAAAAATCTATGATGGTTGAATGAATTTAGTGGTAGACTTTTTGAACGAGACTAAATGCAATACCAACTCTGAATGAAATTCATATGTTAACAAAAATATATATTGTTTTTTATTTTTATTTGTTGATAAACTACAAGTATCCTTCATGAGATGTAATTCTGCTCGGAATGGATTCAAGATTAAGGCTTTAAATCTTTTCCAAAGATAATACTGAAGAGTATCTAAAAAATACTGTTTTTTTAATTAAGATATCCTTTCATGTATTGCTGTGAGAGTAATTTCACATAAATGTTTGGGGGAAAAATAACAATCCAAGCTACATTTTTGAATGAAAATTATGTAAATTATAGCAAATATTTGTCTATAATTTTTTATATTAAAATATAGAAAAAAATTGTCATATTTTAAATTCAAAACATGTTAAAAGTCTCAAAGACCAATAATTATTGTTACAAATGTCCTGAAAGAATTCATCAAAAATCTTCTAGTCATACGCTTTGATTTATCAATTAAACCAATTTTCATTAGCAATCTTTTTATATAATTAAACTTGATTGAAAAATGAAATTCAATGAAATTAGGAGAACCAAACAATAAAATTTTAGAATTAATATATGTAAATTAGTTGACCCAAATGATTAAGCTAATGTACATTTTAAAAATAACTCAAAACTAGACTATGGCAATTCAACATTTATTACTAATTTACTATTTCACTTTTTAATTATCAACATATCTTATTTTTTCATATATTCCGATAGTTCTCCCTAAAACCTATAACAGATTGGATTGTCAAAGTGCAAGATGATCGCAAGGGATATTTCTTATAAAAAATTAACAAAACCATAATTTATATTGTCCTTAGATTTTATTAAAGTCCACGCTATAGATTCTATCTTTGTCACAGAAGAAAAAATAGACATCAACTGTCCTTAAATTTGAGGCAGTTAACAAATTATTATCATTTAAATGCCAACGGAATTTGTTTATCAGGAGCAATCTTCTAATAAACAATTATTATTCTATTCATTATCGAAATGCCAACGGAATCTGTTTATCAAAATAATCTTATTTCTGTACTAACAATTTTAAATGCTTAAATCACAAACATTTTTTTAATGGATAATTATCATTCTGTTCATTTTCGAAACGTCAGCGGAATCACTGTATCTAGATTCAAAATAAATTTTTAAAAGTTTGAATACGTAAGCTTTGTACTTCCGAGATTCAATGAATCCTCACCAAACAAATATTCAAACGGGTCAGTTTGATTTCGGTTTCCAAAAATAATTTTTTAATTTTAAGAAAAAAAATTGATAACGTCTAATTTGTAAAAATAATTCTAAAAATTATAACTGTTTTTTAGTTTTTAAAATCAAATTTAGAGGACATAATTTTTATTTTGTGTGTTGATTTTTAAATTTCAAAAAAAAAATCTATTTAATTAATTATTCTACAAAATAATTTTAAGAATAAAAAAATAAAAACACAATCAAACATATTTCTTGTCTTTATACAATTTAGTTGATTTTTTTTTTAATTTCAACTAATAAATAATTCAATTTTTAAAATTTGATCAAATCCCTCCAATCTCTACAAAGAATTCTATTGATGTTATCAAATAATTCAGTTGGCGTCAGAAAATTGAATTAGTGAAAGTGAAAATATATGTTCAATCCTCTCTAATATCATCTTTGAAATGAGTTTAAAGTCTTAATCCCAAGACACGTTCTGAATCGAACTAGTCACGAAACGAAACGAGGAACGAATTGGAATATTGCAAAAAAAAAAAAAAAAATTCTAGTGATATTACAAGCCAGCTAACACATTTTAAAATCCAGACATTTCCATCTTTCATCGACATGGCAATTTGGTATATCATTATTAATATACTTGACAATCATTATTATTAATTTTTACTGATAACTATAACATCAGAAAACAAGGGAAGGAAATACAAAGCAATGAACTAGCCTTCGCAGTTGGTACACCAACAAACAAGGCAACAAGGCCTTAAAAATAGCACAAAGCCAATCATACAAAAGCATAAAAAAGGTAGAAAAATAAATAAAAGAAAAATAAAACATTATGACCACATCCTAACCAGAAAAACAATTTTTCTCCAACAATAACCTCCAAATGCATGTGATTCGTCTGGTGGCTTATGGGTTCAAGAGAATGGTTGTCTCAGCAATCATGGAAGTAACCACATAAGGGTCCATGTTAGAAGCAGGCCTCCTATCCTCAAAGTAACCCTTCCCTTCTTTCTCTGTGTCCCTCCCAACTCTAATAGAAGCACCACGGTTTGCAACTCCCTGTAAAGTCAAAATAATACAAACTATGAAACTGTTCTCAAACATAAGAAAATCAAGGGAAAAGTTCATGAATGCCTATGTGATTTCCTACAGAATCACTTATGTCTCTGTGGTTTTTTTTATCACATATGCCCTTGTGGTTTGCAAAAGGGTATGTTTTTTATCACATATACTCCTGTAGTTTTTTATTTTTTACAAAACACAAGAGCATAGATGATTCTGAAGCAAACCACAGGGGCATTGGTGAACTTTTTCCGAAAATCAATGTATATAAAGAAAGATGTCAAATGAAAACAAGTTCAAAACAACATAGTATGATCATTTTCTTGCTTACCCATTTGAAGGTTTTGATGTCAGCTGTCTCATGTCGACCTGTTAAACGACGCTCATTGCCTTCTCCATAAGCAGCAATGTGCTCATTGTGCCTCTTCCCCAACTTCTCAATAGCTTTCTTGATTACTTCATAGCCACCGTCATTTCTCATGGACTTGGTACTGAAACATTATCATGCACTTGTCAAGCATGAAAACAAAGAGATTCAAATTAATTGAACACTTTTGTTAAAGTATCAAAGGCTACCTGTAATTGGTGTGAGCACCTGCACCATTCCAATCACCCTGGTTTTGTAATAACACAATTGACAAGAGTCAACACCAATTCATCAACAAAAAAAATACCAAAATGGCCAAAAACTTTCCATGGAGTTGGAATAAATTGATCCCAAAAAGAGTGAAAATATCAACCTGAATTGGCTTGGGGTCAAAGGAAAGCACCACACCAGCAATCTCAGTGATCCTCTGTCAGTATAGAAACAAAGAAAGTTAGTTGCAAGCATAATAGTTAGTGATGGCGACAGTACCAGAATTCATGTGCTACCTACCTCCAAGATGTAACGAGCAACCCACAACTCATCACCAGCAGAGATACCAACAGAAGGACCAACTTGGAATTCCCACTACATCCCATGAAACAATAGATTGAATCAAAACTAATAAAATAAGAACAACACCATGCATATGTTAAATTTAAATAAGAAAAATATTTGTAAAAAAAATAAGCGAAAAATAATGATGAGAACAATAATAAGTGCATAAATTGTTCCAAATTACCTGGCCGGGCATCACTTCTCCATTAATTCCACTGACGTTGATGCCAGCATAAAGACAGGCCTTGTAATGTGAGTCTACAATATCACGGCCAAAAGCCTTGTCAGCACCAACACCACAATAGTATGGTCCCTGTTGAGTCAATAAAGCAAATAAAGTTATTCCCAAATTAAATTAGAATACATGTAAGCAACATAGAAAGAAAAAAAATGTCACTTCCAAGAAAAAGTAAACAAAAAACAAGCTTAAATTGTGTTATTCGTCGTTCATAAAAATGTTATGGTGCCAACAATATTTTTTTAAAAAAAACAATCTAGTTTAGGGATTTGTTCTGATATTGCTAAGTAACTAAAGAGCCCCAACATGTGTAAAAATTGACGACCCCAAATGTGACAAAATACACCACATCCCCATATGATGAGGCAATAAAAAATCAGTCATGCTTTTTGTAAATGTGTGAAATGGACAATATGAGTTTGTGTGATTTAAAATCTCTAAACATAAAAAGTGAAAACATTAAAGAAATTGAGTTTTTACCTGAGGGCCAGGAAAGCCACCAACAGGCCACCCAAGTGGCCAATTGATATCTTTCTGCAACAAGGTGTATTCCTGCTCAAGACCATACCTAATCACAAATCATACAGTTATTGTTAGTCATTAAAAAAGAAAATTAGTGGCAAATGGTTATTACAGTCAATAATGAAGCAACAATAAGTACCAGGGTTCTTCAGCAACAACATCAGGATGGCTGAATATCTTGGCAGCAGCGTGTCTCTTGTTAGTGGGAATGGGTTCTCCAGCAGGAGTGTAAGCATCACACATAACCTAAAGTGAATTATAATATAAAAAAAAAAAAGAGGGTTACACCATGAAAACAAGTTCAACTACATAAAATCGGGAAAAATCAAGATATATTGAATACAGATGACACAATAGACAAAAAGAAACTCACCAGGATATGGTTACCCCTTCTGAATGGATCCTTGAAAATGGATTGTGGACTGTATTGAATCAAGCACAAATAAGGAAAAAACGAAGTATCCAAGAAAATTAAAAAATTTAAAAAAAAAATTTACACATTTTTTTAAAGATATTTCAATCTGCGACTAGTCCAATTCGAGGCAAGTACAAGGGTTAAGGCTTTAAACCCCTCCCAAAGGAGTATTGAGGAGTATTGAACACATGTTATAGTTCCCTGGCGCCAATTGAGCTACCATCATTTGGTAAAATTTACACATTTGAATTGGTTGAAGAGGTGGAAAAATGATCAAATAGGAATTGGAAAAATAAAAAAGGCATACTATATGATCACTTCACTGTCTTCTCCAGGAGCTTGACCTGTGCTGGAACCATCATAATTCCACTTGGGCAGCTTTGAAGGGTCGCTAACTGGTCCTGAGAGCGTCTATATTCCAAAACCATTTTGCATTAGTTAAATGGAAAACAAAACAAATACACTTTTTTGTTTTTTCCTTTTCATTTAGCTACAAAAGTTGAATTACCCTTGCTTTGCTCCTCAGGTCCATACCCGATCCACCGATCCTATCATAATGAAAATAATAGCATGTCAGACTTTATCAAAAGCGGTACTTTAAATTAAAAAGAAAAATAGGTACAAAAAGTTAATGTCATTTGGGAAAAAAGTAGTTGAGGTTGTATTAATACAAAGCAATCAAGGAAGGGAAAAGGTTCTTCCTTTATCCGATTTATTCCAAACAAACAAGCAAAAACGGCTTAGGAGTGAATAAATACTAAAACCAAACATAATCACCAAAAGACAAAGACAAAGAAACCATCTTGAATTATGCCCAAAATGCGGAAAAGAAACGCCCCTAACAATATTGAAAACTATGCATCGAGAAAACAAAATAAAACTGAAAATTTCTCACTGAATACAATCTATCGCATGATAATAAAAACAGGGGAAATCAGAGGAGAAAATTTCTCTTCTTGATATTCTCCAGTTAACGAGCTAGTATGAATTAAACACACTCAGATCAAAATTTCATGTTCTCGTTTTTAGAAGGGGTGGAACTAAAACAACGATGCAGCTAGTGTAGTATAGAGCAGAGTGATTGATTAAATCAGAAATGGTTAAAAATAAATCACGCCCATCATTAGAATCGTTCCAGAAAAATGTTACTGTACTCGTGAAGTCATGCATACACGAACAAGCACAAAGCAATCCTATATTGCTTATGCTTGTTGTTGGTAAGTACAGAACACAACCAAAACAAAAACCAGTGTGTGTGTGTTAGAGAGAGAGAGAGAGAGAGACTTACCATATGTATTCTGCGATCACCTTCTCTGTGGTTTCGGAGAGGTTAAGGTTGATGAGATCTGAGAGCAGCGACATATCCAAAAATCAAAACTTGAAGCAAAGACTCTTCACAGCAATGAACTCTCTCTCTCTCTCTCTCTCCTCTTTCTTCTTTGAATCCTCAGATTCAATGAGGCCTGTGTTGGTATTTATAGTGGGTTCTCCTAGCTGGATTATAATTAAATTCAAAATAAAAACTGCTTTTTTTTTGTTTTTTGGAAACAAATAAATTGTTTTTTTCAAATGAAGGATTTTTACCTGAAAACAAGGGACAACTTGTTTTCAACTTTAGAATGATAGGATTTGAAAAACTGCGAGATATATTTATCATTAATTAAATTTATTATTTTTTTAGAGAAAGAATATATTTATTATTAAAAAAATTTATTATATTTACAATCAACCTAATCACCGTTGATTTATGTCAATCCAACGGTTATAATTTATTGAAAATTATTGGATCGTAATTATTAATTCTCAATAAATTATAACCATTCGGTTGACGAAAATCAATGGTGATTAAGTTATTGTAAAGGTGATAAACTTTTTTAATGGTAAATATATTTTACCCCTATTTTTTATTATCAAATTTTAATAATTGATTTTTATTAATTTAATGGTTATAATTTATTAGAAATTAATAATTATTCAATAAATTATAATTATTAAATTGACAAAAAATAATAATTAAATTTTAATGATAAAAAATAAAAAACTTAATTAGTGATGAGTGAATCCTCCTTTAAAAAAGAATTGTAAAATCAAATCAAAACAACTAGTTTTCATCAAACATCATTTACAACTGAAGATTGCGAAATATTTAATGCTTTTTTCTTATTATAATAATAATATTATTTTGTGGAATTGTTAATAACAACAATAATATATGTTGTTATCGGCAGTTCCATTTCAAAAATGCGTTTAAATAGGTTGGTAAAGGAATCTGAATCGGTGGGGTCATGCTAGTGATCATCCGTCACCGGCCGAACCAATGCACCGGTTCCGGTTTAATATATGGGATTTGCTATAAAAAAATTTGGGCATAAGCTATTTAACATTTATAGAAAATAAGGAATTCGATGCAGATATTTTATTTAAATCTGTTTAATGCGTCACATGTTAATTGAATTTGAGTAAAGTTAATTTTACTCATTTTAGTAAAATAATTGAAACAAAATAAGTTCTATCCAGGTCTAATGTATTTTTAATTTTAATGAAATTTAACGTATAAATTAATTAATAAATCATACTAAATTAATCTCTATCTCACTCATCTTTATGTTTTATTTATTAACTTAAGACAAAATAATATTCAATCTCATTCAAACATTAAAGCATTCCCACATCAAGCACACATTTTTAGTCTTGGTATAACTTATAAATTAGGAGAATGATCCGTTTATAAAAAAAAATTATAAATTTTTGTAAATTACACTATGTATTCTCGAGAGAATATAGTGTATCCTAATGTTCTCTCGGGAGAACATAATCTAGTTTATAAAAAAAAATTATAAATATAATTCTCCCCTATAAATTATTAGGTAAAGACATATATTTCTCTAACATGCCTAGGAAAGCTTATTTTATTAGACTTCAACGGTGCATAATATAAAAGTTTAAAAAATTTCATAATATTTAATTATTTACAAATAGAATAGGACAGTAATAATTGAATTTGTGACCACTTTATAATATAGGATCTCGTATCATATAAAAAATTATTTCAATTTAAAAGTTTACGTTATTAAGTAAAAATACATTAATGGTCTTATGGGAGTGTTTGGTATGAAGATTTTGATAGAATCTTTGGGAAAGTGATGTGGGGAAAATAGGTTTACCATGTTTGGTATGAGATAAGTTAAAAAATATCGGTATAAAATATTTTTCATGGATAATTTTTTCAACTGGACTTTGGCACAAAAAAAAAATGCAATTCAAAAGGTGATCTTTTTTTATCTAAGAACCAAGAATCTTGGTCTACCCTATAAGAAGTACATTTAAAAATCTTGGACACACACAACCCTATTATAAAAGGAATGGTTTAACAAATTTTCAAACATAATGGATATTTTTGTAATTTTATTTCATTTTCCCACATATATTTCACAACCAACCAAACATAGTATTAATATAATAACTCAATTTTTTTGACAAAAATTTTGTCCTACCAAACAACTTTTTGTAACTTGTCCAAGATAAAAAAAATCCTGCCATATTCTCTGTAACTTTTCTTTCTCAGTAAAAAAAATCTCTCATACCAAACCAAACACCTCTTATATGTTATATTATATTTATCTAAGATGATTCTTATTATCAGGACTTATCATACACATTATTTAAGCACCTATTATAAAAGACACATCATATTTTCATACAAAAAGTTGAACACATGATATCCAAGACATATGTTCGAGAAGCTTATCTGTTTCCTTTTTCCTCATGAAAAATACTCCATGTAGCATTGGTATTTAGATTTTATTTGAGGGTTTAGAAAGAAAGAGAAAGAAATGAATTTAAGGAAGAGAGAGAGGAAGGAAGGGAAATAAAAGATATTTTTTTCTCTTGTTTGAAAGTTAAAACCTCCCAAATTGAAAAAAATTTAATTTGAAGAACAATAAAAATTTTGGAGGATTTTGTGAAAATCTAAAAATTCTTCTCTTTATTTTTTTAAACTCACATATTAAGGAAGAGGTTAATAAAATCATTCTCTTCCTTCTCTCTCCCTCCTAAAACTAATTTTCGAACAAGCCCGATACTAATTATTTATAGAGTTCGTTTTTTCTGCCGTTAATGCAGATAAGTTATCTGCAGTAAGCCCAATACGATGTTATTTTGAAGCGAAAATCATGGTGTTTTTATAATTTTAATTTATTTTAGTATTTATAATTATAATTTTTTAATTTCACTCCTAAAATAACATTATTTTGAAAATAAATACAAATAACTTAGCTGCATTAACTGTAAAAATATTGATGTTGATATGTAAATCAATAATGCGCTCATTATTGATTGCACATTTAAATTTTATCAACGCACTTAAGAACAGTTGCGTATACCATTGTGAGCTTCCAAACCACTTATACCTCACGAAATGTACCATGATTGTGATCTTAGTATAGGGCGTGATGATAGATAGTGACAAATGACAATCTGATACGTGGTTTAATGTATTATCAAAAATTTAAATGCTAACTTTGCTATATTTGTAGAATTAGAATTTATGATGTTCAAGGAAGAGTTTACAAATTCTACTAAGAAACAAGAACTCAAAGTATAAAATGTTATCTTGATAAGATTCCCTTTTTTCAAAAATGTCTAATATTTACAAATGAAGTAAACCTATGTGGCCAGTGGGATTAGTTCACAATCACATGACTCGACCACATAAAAGTGGCCACTAGGCCTAAGTAGATGGGGATGGTAGCTATATATTGTCACGTGCGTCATAAGATTGGGGTTAGGGATCGTATCGCACGTGAGTGTACGGTGAGGAACGGATACTCGTGTCGTGCTGCTTCCCTGAGGTTTTTTTTTTTTTTTACCGACACGTGTCTGATGCAGTGGCCCATTCTTCAATATAATCTTAATGTATGGGACCCACTCCTTCTTGAGGTTCTCACCTACTCCGCAAACTACAACGCGGATTCATTGTTCTGTTCACATTGTATTTTTTGTTTGTTTGACCTCAATAAATTAAGTTTACAAAAAAGAAAACTTGTAAAGAGTATAATTATACATCTTTTTCTATTAAAATATAAAATAGTTAAATAAGTATTATCATTAAAAATGTTACTCTAGAAATATTTTAGATTGATATCTATGACTTTCTTTTTTATTTTTTGGCTGGCTTAGTTCATGTTTTTAGCCTCCCTTTTCAATTGCTTTTTTAGTAATAATATATTGAGTGTTTTCAATTAAAAATTCTATAAGCAAATTTAATTAAAATTAATAATTTTTTCTAAATATTTAATATTATTTAAATATTTTTATGATTGTATAGTATAAGCTTAGTAACTTTGGTTTTAAATTTAGATATTTGTTGTAAATTAAATTTTTTTTTTAAGTACTTTTTTTTTTGGTAAACTTTTGTCAGTAATTTTTACTAGTATTTTAAATCATACTACTGTTTTTATTTTAAACAAAAAATTGTTTTATCGCTATAAAAAATATGTAGATAATTTATCTATATTGAACCTAAAATGACGTCATTTTGAGGCAGAAATTAATATATTTTATAATTATAATTTATTTTAGGGTTATAATAGTCTTTTTTTATTACAATTTTTAAATTTTTTAACCAAAAATGATATCATTTTAAAAGCGAATATAGATAATTTATTTACATTTACTATATAAACATTACAGTCATAAAATATATAGTTAATGGAAGTTACTAATCTCATGTTGTTTGAGATAGTTCTCTTACGTGTGTGAGATAAATATGTGGGGTCCACACTTTAAAATAAAAGAAAAAAGAAAAAAAAACTGGCACAAAATTTGATGAGTGTATAACATGAGATAGTTATCTCCAATGACATAAGAAAAATATTTCCCATAATTAATACTACTAACACGATAAGATATTTTCATTTTCATTTATCGATATTATTGAAGAGAAAAATAATCGACAAACAGCTGATATATTTGATTTATTGGAAGCAGTGAGAATAATTGTACTTTCGTTATTATTGTTTTTATTAATCAAAATAATTTAACACTAGAACTATGTACAGAATAAACATAAAAATAAAAATTTAATTATTATGAATATTATGTACATGAAAAATAATATAAATGGAAAAGTTTTCCATAAAATCAAATATTAAACAATTATATCTTTATTTAATGATATAATAAATACTGACTTACTTTTAAATTTGAAGAATGAGAATAATTACTTGCTGATATTTGAATTCATAAATATGTTATAACTTCAAAGACAATCAAGTTATTTATAGCTAAAAATTGAAATGAATTTAAATATTAAAAAACTATAACATTTTATAAATGCCTCAGATTACATATAATATTTTATTTAAAATAATTATATTATTTAAATTAAATTATATTAAAAACAATATCTTGAAAGTTAGCTAAAAAATTACATCTA